TAGAGGTTTTTGCTATACGGCGCGTGCGCTCGCCAGAAGGACAGAGAGAGACAGAGAGACAGAAAGCGAGAAATCACCCCCCAGGGGGTGACCACTCCGCAGTCCCTTCTCCTCCACTCTCCTCTCAGGATCTTGGGCACGTCAGTCATCAAATATACAAACCTAATCATGTGGAAACCCTCAAACTTACTATTGCCTTAAAGAAAAAGTTCAAACTCGACAGTAATGCTGTTCACAATCCGATTTCTGCCATGAGCCCTCCCCAATGGATCTATCGAAAAGGCAAGGAAACAGTATAAACTTCAAGGAGGAGGTCAGGAATAGTGGTAGTTTTAGGATCCAGGAACCAATAGGTTGAAACGAGAGAGGACGTTGCCCATGGGGAAGACACAGACGAGAAAAAACTCAAGGTTGGAATTTGGGGAAATACTGCTTAAAAAGCAGGCAGAGAAAGAGCTCCCTACATATGAGACAGACAGAAAAAATGAGGAAGATGCAAAAAGAGTTACTTTTCAAGGAGGTATCAGATGACCACATGGTATCAAATATAACAGCTATTTAGAAAGGCAGGGCTGGGAGGTGGCATGGTGGTTGAGTGCTGGACTCCCACATGGCCAACCACGGTTGGAATCCCAGACCTGGTGGCTTGTTTCTCACTTTCCCTCTCTCTCTGGTGAAATTAAAGTAAAATAATAATAATACATAAAGATAAATAAAAATAATAAAAAGGACAAGCAGTGGTTAATAGCACTGATGGAAGAATCGCCTGTCTTTTGAGATAGACAAATGAGCGCCGGGGAGATGTGGCGGGGGGGGGGAGCAGCAACTTATGTTGTATGACTTCAGTTTCTTCCATTCAGGTAAAAGGAACTGGCTCCCACATGGCGGACTGCGGGTGAGTTTCGGACCTGGCAACTTGTTTTCTCTTTCAATGTCTCTCTGGTGAATTGAAAAATAGTAATAATAAATAAAAGTAAATAAACTTTTTTTTAAAAAAAAAAAAAAAGATAAAAGGGATTCAAAATGTCTGTGACCCTGAGGAAATTTCTATGCAGATGAATAGGTACCGGATGGTATGCAGACAATGGTCTATACACTTATTTCTAATATACCAGATCAAGTCAATCAACTCTTGTGTTTACTGAGAGGCTACAAACAAAAGTTTACTGACACATGTTTACTGAGATGCTAAAAGCAGAAATAACAAGTCAGAACTCCTGTCACTTAAAAAAAAGTTTTTTTGTTTGTTTGTTTGTTTTTTTAAGCACAGGCTATAGGACCACCACCTCCATTCAAGTCCCAGGGGCTGGAGGGAGACATAGCGATGACACGTGGCACTCTGGGAGGCTGACCCACAAGGGTAGTCTCTGGGTTTCTACATGGAGACCTCCCTGAGTATGCTGGACATGTTTATGCCCATGATCGGGCTAGCTGAGTTGAAGTGAATTGTGACACTGTTAGGTGGAGAAATATGCTGCTTCTCCACTGCAGCAAAGAACTGAAGGACAAGGCTAAGCACAAGGTTTATTGAAAGAAATAAAAGGACAGGGATGGGGACCAGTAGATGGCGTAATGATTATGTGGCTGGACTCCCACGTAGTCAACTGTGGTTCAAGTCCTGGACCCAGGAGCTTAAACCTCACACTGGGCACGTGTGCATGTGTGCCCAAGATCCCTAGAGGAGAATGCAGAAGAATGGATTGCGGTGTGACCATCCACCCTGGGGAGTGATTTCTCACTTCTTATCTCTCTGGTAAGTGCACGTGCCCTATAATAGAAATCTCTCTTTCTCATAAAAAGATAACATTCCAGGGAACCAGCAGTTAGCATAATGGCTATGTCGCTGGACTCCCATGTAGTTGACTGTGGTTCGCATCCTGGACCTGATGGCTTAGAACTCACGCCGGGTGCGTGTGTGTGCGTGCCCAAGATCCCGAGAGGAGTAAGGAGGAGAAGGGATTGCGGTGTGGCCATCCCCCCGGAGGATGATTTCTTGCTTTCTATCTCTATGTCTCTCTCTGTCTGGCTGGCGAGTGCACGCGCTCTATAGCAAAACAACCCCCCCCCCCCCCAAAAAAAAAAGATAACATTCCAGAAATAGAAGGGCCAGTGCCAAGGGTGGCAAGCAGAGCTATCCTTCCCAGGGGCCTTTTCGGGCCCTTTCTATCCTGATTGTGTGTGTGTGAGACTCCTTTGTTTAGATTTGTTAGATCCTTTATGTAGGGTCTAACAAATATGGGGCACATATTTTGATTGTCTCCTTCAGCTCGCCACTTTTACCTGACTTTCTTCAGTCCAGTCTCCTCTGTGAGTTTAGTGTACGTTACTAAGTGATCCCATGAGCCATGGCAACGCTTTGTGTTCTGGTATCCAAGCATACACCTAACAGCATAAAGACCTCATCTAGGACTCATAAAAGATATGAATAAACTTGAAAACCAAAGGAGAAAATCCCAGCTGCAGGCTGCCATGGTCTCACTGAGCATCTCCATCTTGTCACTGTAAGACCCATTCAGTCCTTACAGGTCTGTCATTAGGCCTTAAAGCACAGTCTAGAAAGGGGACAAGGAATTACAATGAAAAAGGGAAAAGGCACAACAAACAGCAGGTGCATAGGAAGGCAGGCTACATGCATAAAACATACCTCTTAGACCACGCTGGTCACCTTCTGCTGGAGAGCAGCTGAGGTTGGGGAAGTGATGGAAGATACCGGTAAGATTGTGAAAAGTCAATGAAAGTTACAGGGCAGGGAACTGACTACTGATAGATTGACGGGCTGTCAAGGACCAGGGAGTGAGCTGAAGTTGGACATCTGGAGTCCGAGAATCTGCTGTATGTTACTTGGTGTTATTTTCTCCAATGTGCCCAGCTGGGCATTTATAAAACAGGGACAGGGTTAAGAATCTGCTGTGGGTCAGAGGCATTGGACCCAGGAGTTAGGATGCCGATAAGCCAAGCAGTCTGGGCGAGGAAGAGAGGTGATGACAGGAGGGCTGACAAAGAAAACAAAATAGAAGAGCAGATGTTGTGCTTGTGAGGGTGCATACAATCAGAAAAAACTGAAAGGCTGGATGATAACAAAAGCTCGGAGAACAATTGTGGATACTAGAGACAGTGTGGGAGAAGAGTGGGAAATGGGGGGAGGGTAAGAGGATGGGAATCAAGGGGAAAAAGAAGCAAAATGTTTAAGGGACACAAAAATGGAACATTATCTGTTGATGATAACGTGTACGATAATACCTTTAACTGGACTAACATATAATGTATTCATGCTGAGAAAACTCATTTTATAAGCTGTAATGATATATATTGCTTGAATGTATGACATATACATAAAAAGAAAAACTGAGTACTAGTCAGAAAGGCGACTGGAATGTAATTTTGTGCAGTAGTTAGTATCTTTCTGGATGATGACAAGACTCTAGAGAAAGTCTGAGGTGAGAATCCAGCTCTGCCATCCTTTACCTCACGCTGTTCGGGTAAGAGGAACCAAATTTTGAAAATGGCAGTTTTATCCCTGCATGTAAGATACTTTGAATAAACACTTTGCTTTTTCCTAATAATTTTAATTCTTGTTAGAATTAAATATGCCATATCAATTATAAAATCATCCTTCAAGTAAACATTTTTTTATATTGTATATGATAAAGTGGTTTTCCTGTCTTTCTTCCTTCATCTCATTTGGTTGCTTGTTTCTTGCCTAGACTCTCAACAATACTTTAGGCATTGCTGAGCATTTATTATTTGCAATATATTTTACCAGGGACTTTTAGTACCAGCTAGTACTTAGACTGCTCACAGTTCTACTGGGCACTTTACTAAGCACTTTCCACGAGCTTAATCTTCATAATATTCTAGAAAATGGAGAAAGGGGCAAGTAGGTGGCGTATTGGTTAGGGTGCTGGCCTCCCACATAGCTGATCGTGGTTCAAATCCTGGACCCAATGGCCTGAAAATCATGCTGTGTGTATATATGTGTGTGCCCAATATCCCAAGAGGAGACTGGAGAAGGGATTGTGTGGCTATCACCACTGGGGTATGAGTTCCCAGTTTCTCTCTCTCTCTGACTCTAGTCCTATGGGGAAAAACTAAAAAAAATCAATAAATAAAAACAACAAAAATCTTATTTTAGTGCAAAAATAAATCAGAAATCCATGCAGTTTTTTATATGCATTTTCTGTAACTTTTTGAGAAGTCTCAACCCCCCTCCCCCCCCATTTCTCATGTAATTCAGTTTAGACTCCCAATCCAACACAAGATTCTCACTGCATAATGTTCTACCCTGGGGCCAGATGCAAGTCGAATTATGGCCTTTGGTGCCCCAAACCTCAATAAAACTGAATGGCTCACCCCTCACTCTCTTCCTAACACCTCCAACAGGTCTTTTGCTGTAAGACCCTGATTTAGACATATGAAATATGCTGTTTCCACTTTTGCCGGACCATCCACCTGGAAAATACCTATTTTGGGGCCCTTATCTGAAGACTGCAACTTCCTCAGTGACGTGTTCCTTTAGGCCCAGTCAGTGGTGGACAGCACCCGGAGAGCTAGGTCCCTGCAGAGGAATGAGCCGAGAGAGGCTAGTTCAGGCCACCGGGGCTCTGTGCGGACAGTGCTGCTTACTGTTCACTGTGTAACGTGGAACAAACCACTTCTCTCTAAGCGGTTTACTTGCCTGTCAGAGTGAGGGGATTTGGTTTGGGTTCCGCCCGCCTCTCAAAGCTGTGCTTAAGAAAGCAGAACCGGCATCTGTGCCCACATCCCGGCTGTGACACTAGTGAACTACGCAGCGCAGCTCTGGGTCAGCTGCATAATCTCCCTGGTCTATCCGACCCTCCCCGCTCCCTTTAAAAGAAGCCTAAATTTGATAATGTCAAGAAGCATCTAAAAACAGAGAGAGCTCATAACTAACGCTCAACTAATTATTACTACTCTGGGACTCTATGACTTTGCACTTGTTTCCCTGAGAGCCCCGCGTCTTTCTCCCTTATCTCGCTGACCTTAGCTCAAGTCTCCATTTGCTCTCGGTCTTGAACCGGACTCCTACCACGCTCAAAGCGCGGGAAGTTACCGGCTTCTGGGCTGAACTGCAACCCCGGCGTCCTCCCCTAAACCGCAGCGCTGCTTTTCCCTGCCGATCCAGGGTCCGACCAGACTCCAACTCCGCGTAAAATGGTTCCGCCTGGACCCGGCGCGCCCCTTCGCATCGCAAGCCCCACCCACATCGAGTCTTTTGAGTCCAACCGGCATCCGTCCGGCTGGAAGTGGGCCAGGGGGAACGGGGCGGGACTTCCGGCAGGAGGCGGCAGGTTTGAAAAGCAACAACGGCCGGAGTCTGGTGGGTTTTGGCTGCGCCGCGTCTGCTCGAGCTGTAGGTGAGCCCGAGAGGGCGCGGGAGACCTGGGGAGGGAGGCCAGGGTGTCCTCTCCCTCCCGAGCGCGGGCAGCGACGGGCCGCTAGGACGAGCGGTGATCGTGGGCGCAGCGCTGGGCAGGCGGGAGCAACTGGCGCCTGGGACCTGGGGGACCAGCCCTTAGTTCCTTTTTATTTGGCTTTAGTTCCGGAAACAACCTGAGCTCGGTGCGTACAAAACTAGTGGGTATTACCTGGTGCATCGTAGACCGCGAGAAGAGACTTGACCTGAAGCTTGTCAATTTAAGTTTGCATGTGTGTATTTTAACCCACTTATTTGGAAGGGCGGCAGTAACAGGACTTACTTGATTGGACATGCTTTTGCCAAATATTTACAGATCGCCAGTGCTCAAACATCTCTTGTTTAAATCCAAACCCATGAATCAAGGCAAAACATCACAGTTAATCCAAAAGTCAAAGGAAGAAAGCAATGTATATACTACGTGTGTGCAACACGTAAGCGTTCAAGGGGCCTTTACTTAACTAGTTGAGATCGGGAGGCATTTTTGTTTGTTTTTGTTGTAAAGATTCACAGGTATTTGTCAGTGCCTGCTCTGCTCATTATCGAGGTGTTGACAAATAAATGGGGAACTGGAGGAATAATTAGTAAATCTCTGCTACTTGCTAAGCGGAAGATTGCTTTGCTCTCATCAATTATTTACGTACTTTGTCCCAGCTAACAACTCTAATATAGTTGGAATCTATCTATCCCCCACTTTGCTTTCTCCCTCTCCATCACTCCCTCTTGTGAGAGCATGCGTACACACACATTAATTAATTGGAACTGAAATTGCACTATGAAAGAGTGATAAAAATTGAATGTGGGAGGAGATTCCAAAAGGAAACATTGAAAGTTTGAGAAACCACTTGGAGGAGACAGACTTGGCGCAGAAAGTCTTATTAAGTTATTAAAGATTTTAGAAGCCAAGCAGAAAAATTTGAATTTGATGTGGTGCGTAATTGAAGTATTTTTGTACAGATCTTACATGACACATTAAGTGTTTCACAAGGTCTAATCTGATAGCAGTGTGTGCAAAAATGTTTAGAAGGGAGGGATGTGCAATAATTACGAAGATATTTTACATCTCTTCTTTCTAGTGTGCTGATCTCTAATTCAGATGAGGTTGCTTTGGAAAAGTGACTTTTTCTATAGTTTTCTTTGGTCCGTTTCTTTTATCAACATTTTTAAAATCTGTGACCTAGATTAAAATACTCAGCGGGGGCTGAGTGGTGGTCTAGTGGTAAATGCCCACTCTTTGGGGCAGACCCACATGGGAAGGTTACAGGTTAAACATGGAGACCTCCCATGATCCCTGCCAGCTGAAGCTGTTGGAGGAGTCATGGGGTCAAGACGCTGTCCAGGGTGCTGTATCGCTATTTCTCTCTCACTTGTGGAATAAGCGAAGTTATAAAAATTAATTAAAATATAGAATGCCTGTCTATGCTGATAAGGCTAGCAAATATATGAGGTGTCAGAATCAAAATCTAAAAAGATCCTAGCTCTGGGAACCAGCAGATGGAGTAATGATTATGGCACTGGACTCCCACGTAGTCAACCAAGGTTCAAGTCCTAGACCTGGTGGCTTAAATAAACTCATGCTGGTCGTGTGTGTGTGTGTGTGTGTGTGTGTGTGTGTGTGCGCCCAAAATCCTGGGAGATGAGAAAGATTGTGATGTGGCCAGTCCCCACCCCACCACCACCCCCGGTGATTTCTCGCTTTCTGTCTTTTTGTCTCTGTCTCTGGTGAGCACACACACCCTGTAGCAAAAATCTCTCTCTCTGAAAAAAAGAGGAATCCTACTTGTGAAATGAAATTTGCAATTATGAAATTCAACAGTAGGAAATGTAAATTCTTCCTTAAGGTTCAGATAGTCATGCAAAAACATGGGGAGGTCCTGGCTTGAAATAAGTGGATCGTGTTGAAGAAGTATTGGAGTTTCAGTTAACCGTAAGTTATGTATTTGTCAGTAGGTGCTGACTGATACTTTGCCCTAGGCAAACCCTCTTTGGAGTGTTGCTCTCAGTTGAAGCGTTTTATTTTATTTTACATAGTGTGTTTTAGAGGAAGGTGACTGTGATGCTGAAGTTTCTGAATGTAATGAAATTATACTTACCTTAGAGAAGAGAGGGCTTAGGAGAGGCCTGATAGCATTCATTCTTCACATTTTTAAAAGTGGTGTCTTGTAAACAGGGATTAATATAGTTTCTTTAGTTATAGTGACTAGAAAGAGGACTAGTAGGTGGAATTACAGCAAACACTCCCCTGCAGTTTGAAGAAGAGTTATCTAATTACTAGAACCATACCAGAGTGGGGAAAAGTTGCCTCAGGAGTGAATTCTGTGATGTCAAATGTTCAGCTAAAACTGGGGAGCTGTTTATTTGTCAGTCATCTTGTAGACTGGCTTCCCTCACTTATTAGAGGTTAAGTAGGTTGTCAAACGTTTTCTTAACAGTCTGAGAAATATTAGGAGCCTAAAGACATAGATTTTCAGAATCATGGGCCATTTGAGTTTATCTGTGAACCTGAGACTGTTCACACCAGGTCCCTGAGCTCACGCCGCCTCCCTGGAGAGGAGGGGATCGGTCTGTGGTTCCGGGTGTTGTCTGAGTGGCTGAGGCAGTGACCTGCTGCTGCTCCTCTTACTGGTAACTTGCCGTTTTCCAGGCACAGGTAGCCATGTGAAATGAAATCTCTTAACCACTGGGCTCTCACGGTGTGTTATAATCACCCCAGCCCACTGTGACAGTGTTAAAGGTACTTGGCAGGCTCTAGGGCAAGGTTTCTGAACCTCAGCATCCTGGATGTTTTAGACTGGGTGACCCTTTCTGTGGAAGCCACCCTATGCACTCCAAGAGGTCTTAGCACCATTCCTGGTTTCTATCCACTGAGTCTAGTTCCCCCCGCTCCTGTCCCACTGACCTAAAGGGCTTCCAAACATGGCCAGAAGTGCCTAGGGACAAAATGTGAGAACACGACTTGAGGGAGACACAGGTGCGAATAACTCTGAGTGAAGGCATCAGGCAAAAATGGTGGTGGTGGTGGTGTTGTGTGTGTCTCATCCAGTAGGCAGTGGCCTCCCTGACCTCGGCTGTATCTTTAGCACCTACTGACAAACACATAACTTACAGTTTACTGAAATTCCAATAACTTCTTCAACATGATCCACTTATTTCAAGCCAAGACTTCCCCATGTTCTTGCATAATAGACTGAATCATACGGAAGAATTTACATTTCCTACTGTTGAATTTCATAATTGCAAGTTTCATTTCACAGGTAGGATCTTTTTTTTTTTTTTTTTTTTTTTTTAGGGAGTTTTTTGCTATAGGACATGTGCGCTCTCCAGAGAGACAGAGACAGAAAGCCAGAAAGCGAGAAATCACCTGAGAGAGGGATGGCCATGTCACAATCCTTTCTCCTCCAAAATTTCTCACTCTGGTGGTAGGAATTTCTACCAAACACCTCTTTTCTCACTCTTTTTTTTCTCTCTTCCTACTTGCTTCTTAAATCTTACAAAGCATCTCACTATATATGTACTGGCTAGCACGTGAATCAGAATTCATCTTTATTATCTACCCTGTATTGCTATTGTTTATATGTATATATAGCTTCTGCTGCTGAGGTTACCTACATGCTTTGCTTTGAGGAGTATTTCTCAGTATGAATCTTGTTTAATCCCCTGGCCCACAAATGCAAAAAAGAAACATGGTTTTTCATCTGTCTATTTAGCTCTAAAGTACTCCTTCCCATATAAAAAAGAACAGTATTAGAACAATTAGCAGAAAGCGACTGTGTACTGCTTAGAATAAAAGTTATTTTAAGATACATATGCACTTGTCTCCCTCTCATTAGGATGTTTGACGATAGCTTACACCTACTACAGATGGTTTGACCTTGGCTTTTTAATTCTGTCCTTACATTTATTCGTTTTCTGATAATGAGCATACATGGTATTTCTCATCTTTGTTTTCTCTTTCTCCAGATTAACAGAAAACTCCCAAGATGGAAACTTTGTCTTTCCCCAGATATAATGTAGCTGAGATTGTGGTTCATATTCGAAACAAGATCTTAACAGGAGCTGATGGTAAAAACCTCTCCAAGAATGATCTTTATCCAAATCCAAAGGTAAACCGCGGTTGTGTTTGCATATGGATAATGGTACCTTAGAACAAAGGGAAGTGCTAGGTCTGTCGCCTATTTGATGGAGGCTAGTCAAGTCACTTTAACCCGGAGAACGTCTCTCACCTAGTGTAATTTTAAAATAACATTAAGGTTATATGTGATGTGACTTCTTCATTCCCATTAGGAATTCAGTTCTTTAATACACTCGTATTCTTTTAAAAAAAGCCTCTAAACCATATTAAAGTATATTACATTTTTTTATTATCATTATTGGAGTGGTGGTCTGAGGATATCATTTATTGGTAGGGCTTGAAGGAACTTATTCCAAGTGGTTTCCAACCATAAAAAATGCTTACAAACAATCCTCTTTGGAAGCTTGCAGATTAATTTCCTTGCTTTTACACTCCAGGGGGAATTGACTTGTTTTGACAGACGTTGTTCTTTGTATCTTTACTTATTAAATGCAAAAATGAACTATTTATGTGTCACAGAAAATCCCAGAGTCTCCTTCCAGTTTTCTGTATTGGTTTTCAAGTCATAACACAGTAAAACCTAGTTTAATGGTGCAGAACTCAAACTTTTTGATCTCAGTACTTCTTTAATTCTTTAAAGTGGAAAGGGTAATCTCAGAATAAATGATAGGCCTATAAGCTGAATAAATTTAGTCTTATAGAAAGATTACCCCATTTCTCCTATATTTCTCACTTTACTGCTCCCCTGATAAACTTGTATGGGACATGGATCAGAACAGCTTCACAGGCTGGCATTTGGGAACTGCTGATTTAGAAGATAACATTTTACAAATCCTGTACTATCCTATTAAATTTATACTCCCTTGATTAAATGTTCCCTTACACTTTAAATCTGAGGAAACCTTAATATCGAAGGCAACAAACAAGTCTTCCTATGGTCTTATTTTAGAAATATATCCTCAGTGTGCCATTATTTCTGCCACATGCTTGACAGCCTCTCCTGAAAGACTAACCTTTTATCCTCTGTTCCCTAAGGGGGGGCGTGGCTTGGATTAGATTTAGATGTACATGCTTTTGTTCTTGAGCAATTTACGTCATTGACCAGTACTACATACGAGTAACTAAGTATCATAAGGGGCTTTAAGATTTGGAAATTTTAAGAAACCTTTCAAGGAAATAAAGTAAACTTGCTGTCTCCCCCCACCCCCCCATGTATTGACTCTAATACTCAGTGGTAAAGATGACATGGGTGCAGCTGTGAGTCGTGCATCCAAGAACTAAAAGTTGTTTTTCTGTTGTAGCCCGAAGTCTTGTACACGATCTACATGAGAGCCTTACAGATAGTGTACGGAATTCGGCTGGAGCACTTTTACATGGTGAGTTTCAGATGAGGCAAAACTCTGTTGGTAGGAAAAACTTGCCATTCTCTTGCTTACAGTGCCTGGTGGCTTTTACGATAGGAAGTTGTTGACTTTGTTTTTAACAAACTCAAAGGATTCTATGAAATGATTGTTTCTTGTAAAGGAATCTTAGGCACAGTAATGGTTTGTATTGATAGCCTAAATAATGAAGACCATAATTAATAAAAGAGCTAATTGATACAAATTGTCAGTTCTGTGTAATTGTTCACAGCTCTGTAGGTCTGTCTTCAGAGACGGTAATAGAAAACAGTAAAGACTTCACAGATATTCTTTCCTCATGACGGACTTCCAAATTAGCATAGAAGATATGCAGTAAGAAATAAGTGAATATAATTATAATTAAAATAATTATTATGAGGCAACTGAGCTTTTAGCAAATTAGGTGGTTCTAGTAAGAAAGATCATTTACTGTTTTTTATTGCTATGAAATGAGGGCATTATCTAAAGATACACCAAAAGTGTAATAACTTTAGGCTCTCATCAATATTGCATAGTATTTAAAAGTCAGACTGCCACTTGTTTTGACATCTTATTAAAACTCAGTTTCTTTGTCTGTAAATAGGAATAACACTTTGTCATAGGGTTGTAAAAATTAAAAGAGAATATATGTAAAATGCCTGCCTCCGTGTCTCGTGTTTAGAACACACTAACCATCACTCTTCTTTTCATTTATTTAAGTCTTTATTAAGTACCCACTATGAACCTAGCATTATTAATGTCAGCGACAACTCTAGCTTTGTCCTGGGATCTGTATTAAGTACTTTTGAATGAAATGATAATTTAATATATTTGTATTGTCATCTGTGATTAAGGTTTTTGTGGTTGAATGTTTTTCTCACTTTGTTTAATCAATGTGTAGCTTAGAGTCTGTGATTTATTACATTTAGATGCCAGTGAACACCGAAGTCATGTACCCACATATAATGGAAGGCTTCTTGCCATTCAGCAATTTATTTATTCACCTGTGAGTAAAAGTATTTTTTTAATCTACCTTCATATTTACATTACGTTAAGTAAGCGTTTTTAATAACATTATTGTTTTGAACGAAGGAGTTTCTACCATCTTCCTTTCCACTCCATCCCTTACATATTTTCAAAACTGTGGATTTCTACCAAACAGACCTACCTCCGCCTTCTGTTTGGCACTGTCTTATGTCAACTGAGGTTCTACGACGTGTAAATCTGAAATTGTTTGCTCCCTTTGAGAAAGGTTTTGAGTTCTTAAAGAGTCTTAGTATATCTAAGAGTATTTCTTCTCAGAATTTCTAACTATACCATTGTAATGCATGAGTCCTTGAGTAATATAAAGAAAAATTAGACTCCAGTGCTCTAGGATTATGAATTATAGTAATCTTGATCCTTTGACACTGAGAAATCTATTCAGAAATCTCTTTCTGAAAATAAGATGTTTATATCCTAAGTTAGTATATGATTTTCTTTCCTTTTTAAAAAAATAGTTATTTATTAATTTTATTTATTCATTCATTTATTTTAATTTGAACAAAAAGAGACACAGAGAGAGGGAAAGTGAGAAAGCAAGCCACCAGGTCTGGGACTCGAACCATGGTCAGCCCTGTGGGAGTGTCCAGCGCCTTAACCATCACGCCACCTGCTGGTCCCTGTATATGATTTTCTTTAGTATATGATTTTACACTTTTGAATGTTCTTTCTCCTCTTCATCTTCAAGGGACTCGTTTTTGCCCATTTGCCGGGTGAATGACTTTGAGACTGCTGATATTCTATATCCAAGTAAGTGAGCATTTAAAATGATTTTTAGTGTCTGGTTTCAATCTACAGTACCATTTCACCTTTCCATTGATAAAATGTAAAACAGCACAAAACAAACTTAAAGAGAATTAGTTTTAAAAATTGTATCCTATCCTTAAGGTGAAATGTCTTTATATTCTGTTACTGAAATTTTTCTCTTTCTGTAGATCTTAGGAAAAGCTGTTTTTCTGATTATTTTTTCTTCTTTAAAAGATATATTACAGGGACCAGCAGTTAGCGTAATGGCTACATCGCTGGACTCCCATGTAGTCGACCACGGTTTGCATCCCGGACCCGGTGGCTTCGACTCATGCTGGGCGCGTGTGCGTGTGTGCCCAAGATCCCGAGAGGAGAACGGAGGAGAAGGGACTGTGGCGTGGCCATCCCCCCTGGGGGGTGATTTCTCGCTTTCTATCTCTCTGTCTCTCTCTGTCTGTCTGGCGAGCGCACACGCCCTATAGCAAAAACCTCTACAAAAAAAAAATGACAAATTTGAAGAAATGAATATAAGTAATATGAAGTATGTTGCAAAGTGGATTCATTCCAGTTTTTTCAAATATAATAATTACTTTTACCATAATGAAATGATCTTTTAGCACTAATAGAATAGATATGATGTTATTTTAGAATGTAAAATTCTAGCTTTATTTAAGTGTCCTTTAATTCATTTGACACTGATGGTTATTATCAAAGATATTTTTATGTTGCAAGAGGTTATGTATACTATTTAAAAATTTATTTTTCATTTTATTTTGGATCTCTCAGCATGAGTTATACACAATAAATGTCACCAATTTTACAGTAAGTGTGTCTTGGAGTTTCCTGGTTTTGTTCTATTTTTCTGTTTTTTTTTTTTTTTTCTTTTTTCTTCCCCGGTTTACCACTTTGGATGTGTTCTTAGTTTTATTGTTTTTGTTTTTTTCCAAAGAATTATTTATTTAATTTTTTATTCATTCATTTATTTCAATTTGACCAGACAAAAAGAGAAGAGAGAGAAAGTGAGAAACCATGCCACCAGCTGTGGGACTTGAACTGTGGTCAGCCATGTTGGAGTGTCCACCACCTTAACCACTGTGCCACCTGTTGGTCCCCATGTTCATAGTTTTTATAAAATTTGGAAATCTCTCTGTGAGCGATTTTTCCTGCCCTTCCTTTTCGTGGGAATCCACTCACATTTGATAGGCTGTTTGATATTGTCCCTCAGCTCATGATGTTTTATTTTCCCCCGTGGCCTTCATTTTAGTCTCCGAGTTGGGTCTAATCTGCAGTCTATTCCATCTAATGTGGTTTCTATCTTAGATACTTTATTTTTCAAGTCTAAATGTTTTCTTTGTCATCCTGATCGTAGTCCTGATGCTTTTCTCTACTTTCTTAGACAAATAGGATATATTTATAAAAGACGTTTTCATAGTGTAGTCTACTAAGTCTGTTATTTTTTGTTTCTGGGTATGTTTCTGTTGATGTCTGTTATGAATCATATTGTCCTTTTTCTTTGTCATTTTTAGTGCATTCCAGGCGTAGTGAGTTTTACAATGTTGGGTGCTGAGTATTTTATTATTATTATTCCTTTAAATATTTTTGGTTATTTTCTGGCTAAGTACTATCTCCACATTCATGTACTAATTACTCCTTAGCTGAGAACTTGAGAGGGCGACTGTTCAGATCTTTGCAACTGCTTTCAAGTGTTAAGTCCTGTAAATTCCAGTGGCTTTCACCTCTCTGCACTCAGTCTTCTTGACTAGCAACACCTGTGAATTTTGTGTTCTCTTTCTAGGGTACAGCCAGAAAACAGAACTGTCCAAGTTATGGGCTAGTGCATTTATAAAATCCACCTCCGTTGTTTTTCTTTGGGATTGCTGTCTTATATTATCTATTGTCCAGGGTCTAAAAATGTTCATTGATACATGATATTTTGCCTGTTTCTAGTTGTTTAGCATAGGGTATAAATCTAGTCCCTGTTATTCCACCATGGCCAAAAGTGTATGTATGTTTTAAATTATTAATGCATGATATATTTTGTTATGATATACACCGATATACACAATCTTTTTTTTTTTTGGAGAAGTTTTTGCTATAGGGCGCATGTGCTCGCCAGACAGACAGACAGAGACAGAGAGACAGAAAGTGAGAAATCACCCCCCAGGGGGGAATGGCCATGCCGCAATCCCTTCTCCTCCATTCTCCTCTCTGGATCTTGGGCACGCACGCACACAAAGCGACTGGGTCTGGGACTCAAATCGTGGTTGACTACATCGGAGTCCAGCCATATAGCCATTACGCTAGCTACTGGTCCTGATAGATACAGTCTTACAGGCTATGAGCAGAGTATATGTTGATAAAGGATGACTTTTCATTTTTATGTTAGGTTATTTCAAACCTTTAAGAGTCTTTCTATTTTAGAAGCAAAACGGACAAGTCGGTTTTTAAGTGGCATCATCAACTTTATTCACTTCAGAGAAGCATGCCGTGAAACATACATGGAATTTCTTTGGCAATATGTAAGATTTAATATATTTTTGGGTCACATACTAGATCAGTAATATCACTTATGAACTATTAATCAGTTTTGAAATGTTTGTCATAGATAACAAATTGTTGTATGAGCTTTAGAATTGAATTTATTTTATGTTTATATTTTGCTGAGTTTAGTTACTAGAAAACATCTAAGAATACGATTTTCTTTGATATTTGGTAACATTAGGGAAAGTCTACATTTTTTTGTTTTGATCTGATCTTGTAGCTGTAATGTTGTTTCTTATATTAGGAAATGATAGGGAAGAGAATATTGATATATTTACATTTTTTCCTTTGAAGTTTGCATAGATAGTGTAGTGTTCTTTAATTACTGAGATGGCTGAGGCTTATTTGACTTTCAAATAATGGCCTCATTGGATTGTGTGTTATTAATCATGCTTGCCCAGCATTGCATTGTAAGATTCAGTCCAAGCAGTGACTTTGACAGATGGAAACTCATTTTCCTTCCTTCAGCAATTCAGATCATTTGGGAAGGTTACGGGTCATCCGTGTGATCTGTTCCCATTTGTCCTCAGCTTTGGAGCGCCATGCTCTTACAGAAGCATCAGAGTCACACCCGTCACTCCAGCCCCCGTGAGCACTGTAGAAACACGTCTTTGCATAGCTCATGCTGAGCTTATATCTCTTACACATACACTCTCCAGCTTACACATATGAGCACCCCCCACACACAGGTTTTCTTATTTTTTAAGACACAGCTCAGACATCTAGCACATATGCAGAGCCCTCTGTATCCCTCCTCCCCAGCCATACTCACATTGGGTGGGATGTTACTCTTCTTTCTTTTTCTTGAGAGATTTTTGCTATAGGGAATGTGTGCTCACCAGAGAGACAGAGAGACAGAAAGTGAGAAATCATTCCCCCCTCCCCAGCAGGGATGGCCATGTCGCAATCCCTTCTCCTCCATCTTCTTCTTGGGATTTTGGGAAGGCATGCACACATGACCAACAGTTTAAGCCAGAGTCCAGGACTCAAACTGTAGTCAACTACCTGGGATTCCAGCAGTGTAACCATTTCACCATCTGATGGTCCCACTCTACTTTCTTTTTTTTTGAAGAGGTTTTTGCTATAGGGCGCGTGCGCTCGCCAGACAGAGACAGAGAGACAGAAAGAGAGAAATCACCCCTCAGGGGGGATGGCCACACCACAATCCCTTCTCCTCCATTTTCCTCTCAGGATCTTGGGCACGCACGCACACCTGCCCAGTGTGAGTTTAAGCTACCGGGTCCGGGATGCGAACCGCGGTTGACTACCTGGAAGTCCAGCGACATAGCCATTACACTAACTGCTGGTCCCTCACTCTACTTTCTTTATATTCACCACATAGCAACCTGTTTTTTAGAGTTTTGCTCATGTATCTGACTTTTCAAGAAGACTGAGCTTTTTAAAAATAATTCAGGAATTGTTAAGTCAGTCTTCTTGAGAATTCCTGATCCCCAGCACAGTGTCTAACAATAAGAATGCAACATTTGTGTTAGGTAAAGAAAATTTTTTTTAAACAATTATTTTTACTTTATTATTATTATTATTTTTAATTTGAAATAAAACATATGCATTCACCAGAGACAGACAGAGAAGGAAAGAGAGAGAGAGAGAAAGCAAGCTGCCAGGTCTGAGACTCGAACCTCAGTGGGCCGTGTGGGAGTCCAGCGCCATAACTATCACACCATCTGCTACCCCAAAATAAATAAATTTCTAATTCGTATGTCATGAATGCCTAACTCTAAAATTTCTTGTTTCTGGTGGCAAAAATTGTAGGACAAGTAATAATTTCGTAGTCTCATGTTGGTAGTTTTTTTAAAGAAAAAAATATTGATTATGTTGAAAAGTACTAAAATTATTAAAATTGCTTTATTAGAAATCTTCTTTGGACAAAATGCAGCAGTTGAACACAGCACACCAGGAGGCATTGATGAAATTGGAGAGACTTGAGTAAGTATGAGATATACAGAGAAAATAAATGCAGTTTCGAAGTATAAGGTGAATTGTAATAATTTGCCACCATAGTCCACCTTAAGTCACTTTTTATCTTCCTTAATAAAGTATTGAAGTTTGCCTTTTCTTTTTTTTTGGAGAGGTTTTTTTTTTTTTTTTTTCTTCACTATAGGGCGCGTGCGCTCGCCAGACAGACAGAGAGAAACATAGAGACAGAAAGCGAGAAATCACCCCCCAGGGGGGATGGTCACGCCGCAATCCCTTCTCCTCCATTCTCCTCTCGGGACCTTGGGCACGCACGCACACGCGCCCGGCGTGAGTTTTAAGCCACCGGGTCCGGGACACGAACCGCGGTCGACTACGTGGGAGTCCAGCGACATAGCCATTACGCTAACTGCTGGTTCCCTGAAATTTGCCTTTTCTAAAAAAAGAAAAACTAGGTTTTTTCCTAATCTTACTCATAATTATATAATATTCTTGGGCTTCTTTCTGATTGCTAGTGTGTCAGCCTCACTTTTTAAAGTCCTTATCATACTCTCCTATGTTGTATCTCGAGTGTTTTTCCTCTCTAGGTGAGCAGTGACCGTACAGTTCTCTCTAGGTGAGCAGCGACCGTACAGTCCTCTCTAGGTGAGCAGTGACTGTACGGTCCTCTCTAGGTGAGCAGTGACCGTACGGTCCTCTCTAGGTGAGCAGTGACCGTACGGTCCTCTCTAGGTGAGCACTGACCGTACGGTCCTCTCTAGGTGAGCAGTGACTGTACGGTCCTCTCTAGGTGAGCACTGACTGTACGGTCCTCTCTAGGTGAGCACTGACTGTACGGCTCTCTTTATGCCTTCAGATCAGATCACTCCATTGAGACTTTTACTCCCATGATAGTGTTTTGCACTCATGGGTCATATGGGTGATTTTGACATAGGGCATTCACGCTCCTCAGGGAGAGAGGGAGAGAGAAAAAGTGAGAAACCACCCCCCAGGAGGGATGGCCACACCACAGTCCCTTCTCCAGTCTCCTCTCAGGATCTTGGGCGTGCATACACATGTGCCTGGTGTGATGTGCAGACTGCCGAGTCCGGGATTCACACAGCGCATTTGGCCACCTGGGATCCAGCACCTTAACCTCCATCCCTCCTGCTGGTCCACAGGAAGCTTTTTTGAATCCGTTCTAATGCGTTGATATATTTTCAGTTATCTATTTTAGGTAAGAGCGTTTCTAAACCGCCTTGATAAAAATTCCCTCTAATGGGCAGCAGTAAGAGGAAAAGACTGGGAGTAGGAGACATTAAAATCTAGCGAGGCAGAAGATGCCATAAACCAAGTCAAAAGAAAAGTGACCAACTGGGAGAGAATATTTGCAACATAGACCGCAAAATATTTCCAACTCTAATAACAAAATCCACATAATGTTCCTGATCTATGGAGAATTTCTGCAAACTCGTAGGAAAAAACATACCTTAATAGAAAAATGGACAAAGGCTGTAAACAGGGAATTGATAGCAGAATAAAAACAGGTGGCTAGGGTGGCGGCCGGGCCTGCACGGTAGCTCTGCTCCGCGTTCCGCTGCCTCTCCGGGGCTGGCGTGTGGCCTCCGGGCCTGTGCGTGGCCACTGGGCCTGTGCGTGACCCCCCTGGGCCTGCGCGTGGCCGCCAGGCCTGAGGCTGTGCGTGGTCGCCGGCCGCAGGCGGCAAACTGAAGCCGAAAACAAGGATTAAGAACTTGCAACTATAAGCAACAGAAAGAAACTTTAGCTGTCTTAAACCAATTGAGAAATATATTGTATAAGAGGATTTTCTCTACCTATGGACAGTGAGAAGATGATGGTTACCAGCCCTGCATTACCTCAGGGAAAAACAAGAACTACTCTACCATTCTTAAGGAAGCCAGATACCCGAGGATAACTCACGCTGCAGAACCCCACAACACCATTCCC